GATGCAATATACTTATTTGTTCACTTTCAAACCTTTGTTCATCAACAATGCAGCATATATTTTTAAAGGACAAAAAAATGAAAACAGTAAACATCTGCATGTAACAGATACGTAATTACTTTGGTAAATTTACTGGTTTATCCAAGATTAGAAGTATTTATCAACAGAAAAATATAGACCGATCATCTCAATGGTTTACAGAACAATCCACCCCACTTTGTGATAGGTTGTTTGGGGGTACTGCAGCATCGGGTGGAGGTTTCCCTCCACTGGCCTCTGAGATGCCAGAGTCACTCTGATAACACATAGCTCTGCTTCCATGCACCCAATATGCAGGTGAGTGGAAGTGCGGCCAGTGTGTTCCCCAATGAAGGAGACAGTGGAAAGTTCTGGAATCAGGCATTCCAGGAGCAAGCAGGTGCTGAGCTGGCCCAGCTTGTGGTGGAGGCTCTGTTATTCTGTTAAGCCTTGCCGGGCAGTAGCCAAAATGTACACTGCATCCTTCCATTTTTGTAAAGAAAGCCATGAACAAATGCAACAAATAAACAAGTGTATATAGGTCACCTAGCTTCTTCCCCACTTATACAATCCAATACAGTGGTACCTCGGGTTACAGACGCTTCAGGTGACTCCGCTAACCCAGAAATAGTACCTCAGGTTAAGAACTTTGCTTCAGGATGAGAACAGAAATCGTGCTCTGGCGGCGCAGCAGAAGCAGGAGGCACCATTAGCTAAAGTGGTACCTCAGGTTAAGAACAGTTTCAGGTTAAGAACGGACCTTCAGAACAAATTAAGTTCTTAACCCGAGGTCCCACTGTACTTGGCTATGAAACCCCTACATGTATAGCCCCTGAAATATTTTGTACCTAATTTTGAATTAACAGCAGATGTTCTAGAATGAAAATTAAATGACCTTTCTTTCTTTTTTTAGGGGGGGGGATCCAAAAGATTGCTCAAGGAACTTTGCAAGATAACAATAAGGTTTCAGAGGTGACATTCAACTGTCTCTGATGCAGTCAAAAAATGAGGAAGTTCTGGCTTGTGGGCAGAAGGAATTGCATGTCCCTATATATCCCAACTGTTGTGGCTGCATTTACCAAACATAAACCATGTGCTTCCTGCTTTACCTTTTAACCCTGTAAATGTTATCTCTATTGATATTACACCTATAACTATAGTGGAAGAGATTTAACAAGGCATTATAGAAGCTTCTGAGTTTGTCTGCAGCTCATGCATGCTTCTAATTGGAAATTACTGCACTGTCTTCACATAGATAAGGATTTATGTCATTTTATCTAGAGAATAATTTTCTCACAAGAGAAAAATTAAAACCACATTTAATCAAACATTAATTTACCATTAATGTGTTCATAAGTTATCTTACTTTATTTAGAAATTGTCAGTAATCCTGTTTGTGTATGCATTTAAATACAAGTCAGTCACATCCTTTCTTCCTCCTCCTACAATACTCATCCCCATTCTCATGATATTACAGTATCACTATGACAACAATCGTACTGTTTTAAGAATGCTTAGAAAGGGAGAATGAAAGTGATCTTATCTGTGCAAGTCTGCCTGAAAAAACGTATGGTGAATGAAGGAGAGCTGAAGAAAGACGAAACAGTACATTTACACACACAATATTAGTTGAGATTCACATAACAGCTATTATTAAAAGCTAGCAGAGGCATATAATTTTGAGTTCATGACAGTATAACCTAAGGTTTGCAATCACGCACTCAGTTAAATAGGTTTTAAGCGAGCATATCTGGATAGAGAAGGGCATATGTATACAGTGGGTAGCCAAACATTTACAGGGAGCTAGAGAAATCCTTTCTTTGCAATGATACTCCTTATGTTCTAAGGCTGTGCATTATGAGCACCAACATCTTGCCCTCAGAAGAAGTTTAGACAGTCTAACTTTGAATTGTTGACATCTCCTCGGTTTATTAAATCCTATTTATAACAGACCATGCTCTATTTTAGTGTAGCTATGGGGAATCAAGGAGCTTGTGGAGTTCTGTTCAGAACTTCTCAGTTTTATACATACTGCAATTTTGAAATTGAAAGAGTTTGGAATCAGGGAGGAGCTGAATGAGTAAGGTTTGATCCAAACAAAATAGAGATGTTGACAACAGTTCTTCCAGTTAACACAGGAGAAGATGAAGGTTCAGTAGAAGGTTGTATTCCCATATACACTCTTGAGCTGCTCCTAGACCTAAACTCTGTTCCTGAAACCTGGCTGGCATCTATCACAAGGAATGCCTTTCAGCAACAGATACTGGTGAGTCTGTGGCTGCTCCTGGAGAAGGTCAAATTGGTCACCAGCATTCAGGTCTTGGCAACCTCCAGGCTGGAGTTGATGAGGCTGCCTTTGAAGTCTGTTGAAAACTTCGATTAGTTTGAAGTTCAAAGTGTTTACTTTTAAAATACTAAAATACTGTCTTTCGATTAACCTTTGAAGGTGTAACTTGAGTAGTTTTGTCCAGCTGATTTAACAGCCGCTGATAAATTATGCAGAGTTATGTATACTGATGTATTTTAATGCTCCTTTGGCATATTTCTTTCTTGCAATTGTGTTATAGTTCCTTCTTTATATTTGCTGTTATCTGTTGGTTGGTGGTTTTGATGCCTTTATATTTGCTGGTCAATGCCTGAGGGCTATGTTCAGCTGATGAAGGAGAAAAAAGCCCACATATCAATAACCAGGAGAAATTGGTAGACTGGAAACAGCCATGAGAGTGGCAGCCACTTGACAGGAAAGTGAAGATTCTCAATGCACTATGCTTCCAATGCAGTGGATATTCTCCCATGCTTGTATATTGAAGGAGAAAGTTTCTGACTTTCATTAGTTTATCACTATCTTCCTTGAAGGTGTTTTTCCACTGTTACCTTTCCAGGAAAACTGCACTAAACTGGCCTTTGTGGTGGCTTGAAGACCCGATTGAAGACCAACGAGGTGCAGATCACAGCTTACATGTAGACCAGCCCACAAATAGTGAATTTAGTCAGTGGTCATAAACATGGACTCAGATCATGGCTCAAGGATTGTAGGTGAGGAAGCCGTCTTGTCCCTGTCAACTTTTCCAAGAACTAACATAGCAGGACATGCTGGAAGTCATTTGATAATTTGAAAACGGCTGACAATAGTTGGGTTATGTTATAGCCAAGTAACAATACTCTTCAGGATCTAGGTCTTCAACAGATGCCACGTCTTGTACCGCATAAACACAGCAGCGAACCCCTTCCTTAGGACAGCTGGTGCAGAACTAGGCACAGTATCACAACAGCAAGTAACCCCTGTGCCCAGTTCAGATGGTCTGCAAAAGCACCATAGGACCCAAAGCACTTGCAGAACAGCATGAACTAGCCTTACTCTGAAATTTTACAAGACAAAACTACCAATTGGAATGATAATTTTATATGATTGGGAGGCTACACAGCCAGTATCTAGCAATTAATGAATAATGCAATAAAAAAGCAGGTGCAGGAATGGATAAGGTAACTTAAGCAAGTTCAAGGAATGAAAGTTTTCAATCTCTTGTTTCCCTGTAGCTCCCTGTGACCCCTTAAAAGGCCTCCCCAGGAAGTCAAAGGGTAGTTCTGAAATGAGGTGTAAGAGGCTGCCTGGGAGTTTAATTATCATTAGGACTCAAGTCCTATAATTTTGGATAACTCTATCTATCCCCCAACAGCTTCCTGCACCCCATCCAACATTGTTGAGGAAGGCCTAACCAACTTTTCAGAGCAGCTTTTTGGGAATAGGGGTTTTGCTGGATCTAGAAAAGGATACAAAACTTTCCTTCCATAAATTTCCTTCATGTAGCATATATGAAGATCCAAGCCATAATTATAGCATGTGTGCTGATCAGCCAGCTATGTTATTTGAGACGGCACAGCAGTGGGGAAAATTACTTTGCTCCTGACAGTGAGTGGGCACAAGGTAAGAGTGCTGCAAGGCTTGAGGTGGTCAACAAAGATGTGGGCCTTAATAAACTGCTTACATACACCCTCAACAAAAACACCTTCAATAAATCAGACTGAGTCTGAGCTACTGCACAGCTGCATTTCTTGACCCATCCCTTATCCTTCAGAGACCATCCTTGATGTCTGCTCACCTGGAGACATTGTAGGAAAAGCAGGAAGGATAAAGGACTACGTATATTATCTCTCTTGACAAGAAATTTTGAAAATGCAGTTATGAAAATGAAAAAAAGAAGTCCCAGGAAGCCTGAAAAGAGTGGAGTGGGGTGACACAGTTTGAAGTTTCTGACCTTTTACACTCTGGTTTGGAGGGAAAAGTGAAAGGTCTATTCAATGGTAAGGTACTTGAAATGGAGCTGTAGAATATCTGGATATGCTGGAGTTTAAAAGTTTTAAAATAATGATAATAAGCCAGCTCAACGTCTTTATAAATTTACCATTTGTCTTGCCTACCAGCAAGACTTTCTTCAGAGAGGCTGTTTGGAAGTTGGGTTTGTTGTTGGTATCAGGAAAACTTGTCTGTTGCCTTCATATGCTGAGATGCTTGCTTTTACAAGAAACAGTAGCATGACATGACCCTGAGGCAAGCCTGTCACCTTCATTGCAAATCTTTAGGTGCCAGGCAAAAAACATTTCTCTTCTCCTAAGCCTCTGGCTAATTAAGCAACATATGGCCTTTTAAACTGGTGGTGAGGGCATTATTTTGCTTGTTTGTTACTATGTTATAAAATTTTGTGGTTTTATATTGTAAGCTGCCCTGTGATCCTCGGATGAAGGGTGTTATAGAAATTTAATAGATAAATAAATAAAAATAAAATGCCCAGTCTCTTTTCTCACCTGTAATGCAGGAGGAAGAGTAGGGTTTGGAAGAGGTCTCAGGTGTAGAATAGCATGAACAGAATCATGAGGAAAAAGACATTGAAGAAGCTGTGTCCCATGAAGATTTCCACAAATAGACATTGTTTGTCTATTTTTTTATTGTATGTTAGTTTTAAAAATAACCACATGAGAAAATGAAGAATATCAACAGGAGAGACCTTTATTTTTGACCATGAAAACAAAAAAGAGAAAGTAAACATCTGTAATATGCTTATCATTTCAGCCAAAAGTTGTGCTTCCCTTTAGCAAAAATAAGGAATTATCTTTTGACATTCTTTCTTTAGAAACAAATGTCCATTCCACTTAGCCCATCCTAACAGCCAGATCCTTTGCTTAGCTCCTCCAGAGTATCAATTTGGTGGTGTGCCTTCTGTCTGTGCTGCCCAGTCTCCTCCTCTCTTCCCATGGTGAAAGAAGGTCTGCTGGCAAAGCAAAAGAAAGAAGAAGAAAAACAAGGTTGTGTATTTTTGTACATTGTTGAAGCATGTGTACTTTCAGTCATTTAAGTGCCGATGTGAATTTTTATTTTTCATAATATGTAGTTAAATAACTTTTACACCTCCAATATTCTTGCTCATACCATCCTTATTAGCATATTGTTCATGTTCATTTTATAACATCATTATCATGCAGTTGTTGTTTTCATATGTGAAGGTTTGCCATTTACATTTTTCTTGAACTGAGATGGCTACTGAGAAACAACCATAGATCCTCTGCTCCTCAACAGAAGTGCCTTTTCCTGTTTCCTCATACTTCCTCGAAGTAGTATTATTTAGTTATCAAAATCTTTATGTCCCGCACTCCCTATTCTGTTGATACAACCTCCAAGGTGGCTACAGTTCCTTGTTTTACTTCCATGGGGCTTGGAGCACAGTTCTACAATGGTTCAGTTTTTTTCTTGTGATTTGTCTCCCTTCAATAAACCACACACATTAAGCCAAGAACAAACCTCGTCCAGAGTGAGAGAAACCATGAACCTGGGTTCATATGCCATGCGAAGCCAAACTTTCACTTAGTCCAGGATAACATAGCAGGAGCAGGATTAGGAAAGAAGCACTGTGGTCATGATCTTCACTCCAGGAATGCACACAAGTTGCTCATTTGCCCCAAGGCATATTTCAGCTTTATGTTACATGTGAACCAGGCCAGTGTCAAAGCGATAAATTATTTTAAGTTCAAAATTGCTTTTAGTCTATGCTCTGAAAGCATGCTCAGATTTATATAAATAGCCTTTTAGTGCCTAGGATGGAAAAATAGGGATGAACAAGATAAACAAAGGACCAAAGCAACATGGGTCTTAGAAGAATGTGAGCCAACAATTAAAAAATAAAGTAACACCAGGAGCTTTAACTTTCTTTTGATCACAAATGTGCTATTATGATTGTTAAGTAAAGAACAATATCAAAACGAATACATCAGAACAAGCTCCATATTTATGGAACTGTAGGTTTGTAGTATTCTTCACTTTAAGGGTGATAATTAAAATATTTGAAACACCTACCTATAAAGCTGCAGACATTTAATATAGTGTGCAATAACAGAATTTGATAAGGATGTCACCTTCATCAAAAATCATAGTTAACTGTGTACAGCTTTTTCCTAGGGGATTTTCCAAACAGAATTAATTGTATTTCTTCAAGTTAATTTTACTAAGAAATATTACAGCTAAGCATAACGTGTAATTTGACAAACAAACAAAATAACACTTTTACTTACAGATAATACATTTCTCTGACAAATTTCTGCAGTGGGGGAAAAGTGTTGCAATACCAAGAAACAAACAAACAAAAACCCACCACAGAACAGTTGACCTAAATTATCTTCAATCTAAACAGCTGTTCACATTACAACACCACACAAAAGCTTCCTCTGGTTTATAATATAACTTTCATTTTAGTATCCAATGAAGTCATGGGCAAGGACTCCCATTGTGTTTAATGTGGACAAGGTACCATTATTCTTGCTAAAACAAAACAGAAAATGAGGATAGAATTTGAAAAAAAAACTACTGCAGTTGTTCCCAAGATGGAAATTGCTTTACCATGAATTTCTGTTCTCTAAGTCTTCTGGATGGCTTTCCTGTTATGGGTTGTAACTTCCTGGCAGCTGGTTGCCTATGCTATCTGAAACATGCACCGATTTAACCAGCTAGAAATGGTAGTTTTAGAGCAGGGGTGGCCAACTCCTGAGGGACTGCAATCTACTTTCAGAATTAAAATCTGGGTCAAAGTTGTTGAGCTTTTTTTAAGGAGGAATGCCCCATTTTATTCCCATTTTGTTGGGGGGGGTTCAGTTGGGGGGGGACTTTTAAGGGGGACAGGATTAGTCACTCACCAAATCAGCGCTGTGAAAAACTCTGTCTTCCATTACACATATCAGGAGAAAATCCAGGCAGGGAAGAGGGGGCGGGGCCGGGTGCTCTTCGGCAAAAGCAAAGGAAAATGAACCTGTGATCAACAGCGAATTGATAACTGACCATTTACATCCCCCCTTAAAAAAAGATTCTAGGCAAAGTTACAAGGACTCTTCTATCATCAGGAGGAATCAGTATATGACATTATTTCCCCTGGCTCTAACTCTGCGCTCAAGGACTGTGCCAAGAAATGGGTTTACTGAAGAACAAGAATTGCAGTTATTTAATGGAAATGGAGCAAAGACAGAAGCACTCTCCATCATCATATGGTTATGCTTTAGGTTTCTGTTTTGCCCTAATATTTTATATCTGCTTCCCTTTTGGAACACACATCAAACCATTTAAAAGCTTTTGTTTCTGGTAAAAAAATCACTACAGAACTAAAGAATATTAAGCTTTATAACAAAAATCCTTGAAAGAGTGTATTGCAAAAAAAGAACAATAACAACACAATTACAGTTTTTGCCACGGAACTGTTTTTAGGATTACTTCCTGACTCGCAAGAGAGAGACACATAAGAAGAGCCCAGCTGGACAAAACCAAAGCCCCATCTAGTCCAGCATTCTTTTCCCACTGTGGTCTACCAGATGCCCTTTGGAAAACCATGAGCGGAACATAAATGTAACTGCACTGTTCCCCAGAAGCTAGTATTGCAATGATAGCTTGCACCTACCAAGGTTTATCAGATTTCCCCATAAAAGTTTACACTGTATTTAAAAACAACCCTTTACATTCCTTGAAATTCCTTGCCTAAGCAGAAATCTCCAATTTCACCTTGCAAATTTGCTGTTGGCAAAATTTCGCAGCAACTCAAGTTGCTTCTACTATGCAGAAAAGTTCAATTTCTAATGGATTTTTTAATGATGGTGGCCTATAAAGATTTTGGTTTATTCTCTAGGTTTTGCATTGGTGAGCATGTCTGAGCACATTTCTGTTTTGTAACAATCTAGATGATAAATGCAAACTTCTTTAAGCAGCACTGAAATGCTTCTAAGTGAAAAGATTATCCCATCCTTTTTGAAGTGATACTAAGAAATGGCAATACTTTTTTAAAAAAATGAAAACAGATTTAAAACTGCTATTAAATGCTACTATTTCTGGAGATTTTTTTTTAATGAAAGAGGAATAAGAAAGCTGAGACTGAAGAGAACCTTTGTTACCATAGATACTGGGCAGGTGTGTCATTTTCAACTGTAAGCATAAATTTGATAAGAGGCTTCTCTGCAATGGTACCTGAATAACGTACAGAAGATGTGCAGAAAAGCACGGATGGGGTGGGGGGGAGACTGAGCTAGCTCACACCTCACATTTATCTCACAGTTGATCTGCTATCCAGTCTTTGAAATTTCCATTAAAACAAAGGGAGAACAGGTTTTTAGAATTTACTGGGCTGTGATCTCTCCAATCTGTTCACCCTTCACTCCACCACCTTTTGCGTAGATATTAATTCAAAAGGCTCTTGCAATGGGTGACATTTCTAAACATCTGAAAGTCTTTTTTCAGAGCGCTGTCTTCAATGTACAGAAGTTGAGAAATATTAATTTCCCAATGGAGATAAGTGAGAAAAATATTGGCTGGGGAAGGAAGGAGGAGGGCAAAGAAGGATGCATTGCAGTTAGTAAGCAGCTGTATAGAAAAGAGAGAAAGTGTTTAAAATGCATTTCAGAAGAATTTAATGTATATTAATGATGCATTCTATGAAACCAGCAGGTTGTCAAACTTTTACCATATCAGCAAAATTGCATCACACTACCCTGAACTTTTATGAACAGAACGGAGACAAAAATGTCACTTTTAAGAATTTTAAGCAATTTGCCCCACTTCAGTGCTATCCATCCTGCTCCTCATTGGAGGACAGCTAAAACCATTTCTAAACCTGGTGCAGCTATTTATTTGGTAAAGGCTGCTATACTCGCCCTCTGGAAATCAAATGTACACTGCTCAATCAGCACAACATGTGCTGAAAAATAATAAATGCATCTAATTTGAATCAATAATTTTCATAATCACGAAGAACCCATACATACAAAAAACAGTTATAACATCTAAATTTGATTCTGGAGCACTCATTTCACATCAAGATTGTGGAGAGCTCAGGCATACCTAGGTAGACAGAGACCATTTAGGCTTGCTGAAAACTAGGACAAACCACATCCCACTCTGAAAGCAAAACCTATTAGTCTATGGAGCCATGCCCAGATAACTACCACTTATGGAACAGACATTTAGCAGTTTTAAGTTATTCCCATATCTGCCAGGCTTGTGAATGGCAGATGGGGTGTTCAGGAGAAGACAGCCCCAATGCACCATGTTTGGGACCTGATAATAGGAACACTCATGAAACTAGTGCACAGCTAAATCTTTCAACTAATGTTTTTCACCCATTTGAAAGGGGTGGTCGTGGTCCCCAAACAGGAATTCTTCAGCTACAGAATCCTATGATGGCAGCCCTGAGAAGATGAATCCACTCTGCTGTCCTTCCCATGTGGATCCACTGACAAAAAAAAAAGCCTGCATCTTGTCTCTTGAAGTCTGAGGAAAAATCTATGCCACTGAACTCCTTTGGTAGAAAGGGTGGAATATGAAATATTAATATTAATAATATGTAGATGATCCTCAGGGCACCTTCCAATTCAATGATTCTATAACTCGGTCATAGACTCCTTGTCTTGGAGGATAATAAAAAAACATTGATGAGTGTCCCTCAAACCAGTTGCCAGAGCCTAGAAAACAGTCAAGAACTATTAGAAAATGGCCAGTTGCAACACTCAGGGGTGGGTCTTCCATCCTGACTACCCAAACTAGACTGTATAGCTCTGCAAATTGCTGCAGGACTCAGCTGACAAGTTTTATCTTCTGCCTCAGCTGCAGGACTGCTAACTACAGTCCTGAACAAGCATTCAGCACCTTGGACAAGGACCATAACCTCTCTTTGCCTTAGGGCTTATCCACACTTAGCTTTTGCCCTGCAGGTTCCAGGCACAGGGCTGTGCTTTAAAGTTTCCTGCCTGCGCACCTTTTTTTCCAACCCAGAGCTTTCCCCACAAAAACCCACTCTTTAAAGCTGAAGCGCAACAAATAGCAATTGTGAATAAGCCCTGTTCCGAAACTCTAGGCCTACTGATTTACATCTTGCTAAGGCAATCAATTTCCTTTGGATCAGGACTGGGATGGGGGGATATTGAAGATGTCCTTGAAGAGGGTAGGTTTGTGCTTGCCTTATTAACTGTAGATTAATTAACTTATTTAATATGAGTTAATTAGCCAATTAAGTGTATGAAGTGACTGAGAGGTCTTTATGGCTCTTAGAACTTTAGAAAAACCCCATGAGTGCTCAAGTGTCCTGAGGCTCTCCAGTGTGGCAGAACTTCCTGACATGCCTATGGGACCAGACAGTAACATGTGAGGTCATGCACATTCCTCGAAATGCTGCCAAGCTGGGAATCTGCAGGAGAGAACCCTGTGCTGCAAATGTGCACAGGACTTTCCTAAAGGTTTAACAGCATAAAGATCCCTTGGCCATCTATTACAGTTAATGAGGTAAGTGCAAATGCCTATTTCTATACAGTGGTGCCTCGCAAGACAAAATTAATCCATTCCGCGAGTCTCTTCGTCTTGCGGTTTTTTCGTCTTGCGAAGCACGGCTATTAGCGGCTTAGTGGCTATTAACGGCTTAGCGGCTTTAAGAAAAAGGAAACAAACTCACAAGAACTCGCAAGACGTTTCGTCTTGCGAAGCAAGCCCATAGGGAAATTCGTCTTGTGGAAAGACTCAAAAAACGGAAAACCCTTTTGTCTAGCGACTTTTTCGTCTTGCGAGGCATTCGTCTTGCGGGGCACCACTGTACATCAATGACGCCAGAGAATGAATGACAAGTGAAAGGAAGGGAATAAAATATGGGGGAAAGAGAGGATACAAAGTTGGGCTCTTGGCCTACAGTTTTGCTTAAACCACCAGGTTAGGGCAAGTGCATTAGGAACAGGTCTGATGTAGGATGGAGGCTGTGACTAGGAGTGGAAATGACAGACATTGAAACAACTGTCTGTACATGGAACTGCTGTTATTTGAGTGTCAACGAAGACACACATGTACTTTGTAGAGGCCTTTTACACTTGACAAATGCCACAAACACCAATAATTATTTTGTCAAAGGCATTCTGTACAGCAATAGTTCCCAACTTTTTTTGATGGTGACCCACAAATCCAGATGTACTTGGTATGATGATTCATCACTTTATTGACACATGAATTTTGGAACATGGGTCTCTGGTAGACATTGCATTTAATTTTTAACTACGTGTTTGCCTATTTCACAGCCATTACATGAGGCATCCAAACAAAAAAATACTTAACATCCCTATTCATGTGGAATTTGTTGAAATATTTATAGTACTTACAAAGTTATTCACAGTTTTGTTTATGGGAATGTAAGTACACCAACCATATGACTGCAGGATATTGCTTCATAAGCTATAACAAAGTATTCTAAAAACAAATGCTTAAATGAGCAGTGTTAGATATAATTAACTGTGGCTATCTTTTATAGTTTAATTCATGATAAAGTCATTTTAGCAAGTATCAATGGGGTGCCTGAACTTGTATTTTGCCAATAGGGAAGTCAATGCAGGATTTGATGGTTGTCAGAGATAGTCTTAATTAATTATTGATATGTAATGTTGATATATTATTCGTTATTTCAACTAAGCAAACCTCTATCACCCTTGGCTTAACTATTAACTAATCTTGCTGGCAGATCCAGTGATGGTTCACCACAAGGTGCTTGTACAGGGTGTTGTTCTGAATTACTATTACAGCTCAGTTCTGATGGTAAGCAACTTGCGGTGAACTGTCACCAGCTCTGCTGCCAGCCTCCAGAGAGCAGTTTGCAAATGTTAAAATTCAGACTTTTTGATGATCAGTTACAAGTGTCAATACAGCTTTATAATATGCCAACAAAACAAAGTTGGTATTTATCATACCAGTTAAGGATTGTAACCAATAATTATTTGGGGTTTACTTCTAAAGCCTGTGAGCCATTTAGACAGGCTTCACAAACCGCCTTGGAATATGGCCCACAGGTTGGGAAACATTGCCCTGGAGTAAATTCAACATTATACTAGTACAGTGGTACCTCAGGTTAAGTACTTAATTCATTCCGGAGGTCCATACTTAACTGAAACTGTTCTTAACCTGAAGAACCACTTTAGCTAATGGGGCCTCCCGCTGCTGCTGCACTGCCGGAGCACGATTTCTGTTCTTATCCTGAAGCAAAGTTCTTAACCTGAAGTACTATTTCTGGGTTAGCGGAATGTGTAACCTGAAGCGTATGTAACCTGAAGCGTATGTAACCTGAGGTACCACTGTATACTCACTGAATGAAGTATTAAGTAATATAGTTATTACCTGTGGAAAAAACTGGTTTATCCATTCATAATGCAACAATCTACAGTACTTTCCCCTTCTTAAACATTGCCAAAGTGCCTAATCACTGACCAATTTTTTTAAATATTTGAAACTGTCTAATACCAATTCCACCCATTGATCTACTTAGCCTATACATTAACTGATTGTTAGTGGTGTTTCAAAATCTCTGGCTGAGGTCTCCCCTAGCCTGCTAAGGTACCTGGGAGCATTTAGATGGAGGTGCCAGGGACTGAACTGGAATATCATACTCTGCATGAAACTATATATATTACTACTGTTGAAACCCCTCCCTCAAATCTGGTTCCAGGATGAGGAAGGAGGTAACAAAGGGAATATCTCTAAAATACTTTTGTCATATGGAATTTCCCTTAGGAATCTAAGCCAAAGTGTGTGAAATCACACATGACATGCACAATTTTCTTCCTGCTTTTATGGATTCTAATTCTGCTTTAGTAGTAACATCACTGAGAGACAATCTCCATACCCACTTATTGAGAGAACTCTGTTACTGCTTGTTGTTATCTGGATAATCAAATCATAAAGTCCAACTGGGCACCAAAGCAGAACTCCCTTGCTAACTCTAAAATACTTTAAATGCAATTTGTTCAGTAAACTGCAGTACATTAAATTTTTATATTAAGTAAATTATAAGGAAGAGTGCACTTTGCAGAATTAAAAAGTGCTCTGTTAACTTATCTATTATTCCTCTGGGAAAGTTTCCAAAGTATGTCTAGTACAATTACAGAATTTTCTATATGGGCAGGCTATAGATAGGAAAAATTCTTATCGCTCAGCAAATGATTTTCAGTATCATTTCAGAATGCTTTAGGTCTCTCACCACCACCAAAAAAGTGAAGCTCTCTGACCGCAGACCAAAAACATATCAGTAGAAGCAGCTATTAACAATATTTCTGGTGACTGGGATCAGAGAACTATTGCCCACTGAAAGCAGTTAAATTAAATAATATTATGTCAAAAAGTTGTTCTTAATGGAGAGTTGGCAATGTGAAGTAAGTAGATTCATCGTGTATACTTCACTAACAGAGAGCTAATTTCT